TTGACGAAAGGGAAAAGCGCCGCGGCGCCGCGAAGAGAGAGGGGAGGCTCCATTAGGCTAGTTCTAAACTCCTTGGTTGGACCCCAAAATGTTGGATTGTGATTGGCTCGCTGAGCGAGCGGTAGTTTACATTGGTTACAGCAGAGAGTATTTAATTATATTGTAGTGTCTCTGGTTACAGTTGCAATGCAAGGCTAGGCCTACTGATAATCTCGGGCGGTGTGTCGATCTAGTGTTACTATAATTTATTTATTTTAGCCCAGAGAGAGAGTATTTAATGAATAAACGTATCTAGATCTAGATCTAGAATCTAGGTCAAGATTTTGTTGTGCACCCAGCCAAGAGTGTGCAGTTCTGAAAGTAGATGATCTAAATCTAGATCTAGAAATCTAGTGGTGGCCTGGTTGGTGGGCGAATGACCGAAGAGCGATGACTCTTGACTACTCGCCCTGTGAATTGGCGGAGACACACTAGGCCTATCATGCAACTTGATTCACAAGTCTAATATCATAATTATCAACAGTAGGCCTACTTGCTTCTGTAGGCCTGGAGTCTACTAGTTTCAAACGGCTTCTTTTTCGGTGCACGGTTTCGGCACTCCTGTACAACTGCGGTCCCGTTTGTTTACATGACGGCCATTGTGGCGAGTGAATCTTGATTTCTAGACCTAAATCTAGATCTAGATCTAGATCATCTAGATCTCTAGATTTAAGATTCTAAATAGACAGCATAATCTAGATCTAGATCTCTGTATTCATTAAATACTCTCTCTCTCTCTCTCTCTCTCTCTCTCTCTCTCTCTCTCTCTCTCTCTCTCTCTCTCTCTCTCTCTCTCTCTCGACTAAAATTAATTAATTATAGTAACACAAGATAAATCCAATCACTACACGAGATGATCAGTAAGTAGGCCTAGGCCTAGCCTAGCCTAGCACTACTAGCATTAGCAGCCTTGCATTGAACCAATGTAAACTACCGCTCGCTCAGCGAGCCAATCACAAGTAAACATAAGACACCATGACTACGTAGACCCCAATCGGGGAGAACGTAGACACTTCCATTTTTTTCTTTGGAAGTGGAAATTTATACGGCACGCCGTCGAAAAATCAGAAGTGATAATTTCACGGCACATAAATTCAGCCAATCAGAACATCCGGACTATTTATAATTAAGCCTATAATCTCTTTTCCATAAGTAACGCATATTATAGATACAATTCAAGATACCTCTATGTTTAGTCAACAATGTTTATCCTTTGCTATCATTTTGTGCATTATGGACAATGATGAAATGTTCTGTGTGATTGTAACGAGAGAGAGATGCACAATTTATTTTGTGTAAGCAAAATGGAGAGAAGACTGTTGTTTTTTTCCCCAAAAGTAAGGTGCCCATTTGCGGATGGGATCGGGTCGGGTCGGGTCGGGTAGGTATGATCACCCAACTCATCGCCTGAAAAACAAAACACAATTCTTGCATTGATACACTTCAAGCAGAGCCTATGCCGTCGAAATATCAATTCCGATCTTGGGAAGATTGAAGAATACCTGACCACTAGTACATTATTGCGCGAGAAAGTGGGGGTAGGTGGGGCGGGTGGTTGGGGTGGAGGAGGGGGGAAGGGGGGTTCAGGGGGGTCTCCCCCCTGACAAAATTTTAATGAATAGATCTACCGGTCCGAGATTCTCCATTGAGAGTCCGAGATTCTCCATTGAGAGTCCGAGATTCTCCATTGAGAGATATTAAAAACGGGAAAATTATGAATTCCTGAGGTTGAGACATAGGCAAAGTCAGTCCGCTGGTCCCGTATTCTTCAATCTTACCCCGATCTTTAGACTCAAGACGGCATATCGTATAGGATCTCTTCCGATGTTCAGACAG